CGGGAGCGCCGCCGCGCTTCCCAAGCGGCGCACTAGTGCAGTGCGCCACCGGGCCGGCCCTTAATTCCATAATTTTACCTCTTGGAATCTACCTTAAGAAATTAATCATTCATAGGGGCTGGCCCGTGGCTCACTTGGGAGAGTGCGGTGCTGATCACACCAAGGCCACAGGTTCGGATCCCTATATAGGGATGGCCGGTTAGCTCACTTGGGAGAGCGTGGTGCTGACAACACCAAGTCAAGGGTTAAGATCCCCTTACTGGTCATCTTTGAAAAAAAAAAAAAAGAAAAGAATTACATTGAATCACTATCTGTAATAGAGGAAAATCAGAAGGATTTAAATGTTCAATAATTACATTATAATGCATTTTATGCATCCATTCAATAACTTGTTTTTTCTTTGAAGAGTTTTTATTTATTTTTATTGTTTTTTCACAGCTGGCCAGTATGGGGATTCAAACACTTGACCTTGGTGTTATCAACACTGTGCTCTAACTAACAGTGAAGAGTTTTTAGAGAGTGGAAAAGCTAGTATGATAAATGAAAAAACCACTCAGAAAAAAATATTGCTAAACTGGCAAAAATTATACATTATATATTACTGTTACACATTTACTACATAAAATCAACTGTAAGAGTAAATATTCCATAATTCTGAAAGTAGTTAATGTTGAACGATAGGACCCAATTGATTTTCATTTACTAAATTGTCTTTAATTACCTTATACTGCTTTAATATCTGAATCCCAGAACCTACCCTGCAATCCAAAGACAACAGCAAGAATATTGGAAGGTACTGTAGCTAAAAGTACACTCAGACTCAGAATAGTAGCTCTGTTTTATTTTCTGTGCTAAAAAACGTTTCAGCGCCAAAATAAAAAAGTGGACCCGAAGCACCCAAGGGCCAATACAGGCAAACCATTACGCCCCCACACTCAAGTGGCAACGACTGCAGGAATCATTGCACCGGGGAAGGATGCACTGCCTAGGGGTGGACCTAAGGTTAGACCTCTGCCCCTTTTCCCAGTCCAGGCCTATCGGGAAACGGGGGGCCCAAAGCGCTGCATGGTCCGCACCACCAGGGAAAGATGTTCAAGAAAGTTGATGATGGAAATTCGGAGGAGTCGAGAGTCTTCAGCTCTCCAGCAGCTAAAAGTGAGGGAAAAAGAAAATCTAGGTGGAGGTGGTAATTCCTGCCCTTTCTCGCTCTGCCCCTCAGGGATCCATTACACTAAACCCAGGGCAGGCCCATAGTTACAGAGCCCCTCAGGCGGAGGGCGGCCCGATGCACCGCACCACGTCCTAGACCGACTCCTTGGGTGTCTCCACGTGTCCAATCGGCCCGTCAGTTGCCGCCTCCCCCACCCCGCAGCGCCCCTCTGTAGAACTCACATGGCGAGGGTGCTGCCGCTCACTGTGAGCTCCTTCCCGACAGCCCCTTGGTGGGGTTCGGCATCTGGGGCCAGGGACCCGCGGGCGATCTCCGCCTCTAAGGGGGTCGGGAAAGGCACGCTGAGAGAGCTGGGGGAGGTTCTGTAAAGGCACCGTCCGACGCCGACTTTGCCTGTGTCTCAGGCCCCCTTGCTCTTCTGATGCCGTCCACGCCCCCTCTCAGGCCACCCTGACTAGTCTCACTCCCTAGGCCACCCCTGGCCCTAAGCCCCGCAGACAGGCCCGTTCGTCCCCTGCTCCCGTTTCTCGCCCTCCTCCGCTACCCCGCCTAGGCCACCCTCGGCCTCTCTGTCATTTTTGCCCACCCTCCCCAACGACCCCCGGCCCGTATCACCCCAAGGCCCGATTCCCCCTGCTCCCTTTTCCGTCCCCACGGGCCTCCACCAGTGCTCCCCTATCTCCCGCTGTCCTTTCTTTCTCGCCCAGGCTACCCCTCGCCCCGCCGCAGGCAGCCCCAGCGCGTTCCCCTGCTGTCCCCTTCGGTAGGATACAACATGTGTAGTCGGATTTCCGGCACTCTGGCCGCGGGCACGACGTCTCCACCGGAGCCTGGGTCGTGCGATGCTCGCGAGACATGGGGAGCTCCTCCGGCCGCAGTCGCCGCGGGATCCGCACCTCCGCGGCGGGAGCCGGGGACTCCAGCGCCACCCTGGCCATCGGCACCGCCCGCCGCGCAGCCTGCGCCTGCGTCTGCCGCCTGCATGTCCGCCGCTGCCCCGCCTTCCACCCCACCCTCGCCGCGCAGGCGCAACGACCCCCCACTCCGCGGCCCGTCGAGAGACAACGGCTTCCTCCCGAAGCTCCGCCCCTCAGGCGTGGCACCACCCGCGTGCGCCTGCGCAAACTGGCCCCCGGTGAGGCTATAGGGCGCGAGGTCAGTTCCCGCCAAGCCCGCCCTGCAGGGATCCCTCGGACAGTCCTTCAGCTGCACAGAAACTGAGGCTCCCTCCAGACACTCAACCCCTTCGCGCGACACTCGATCGCAGGCCCGTGTAAAAAGAGTCTCCTAGGGAAGCCGGCAGGTGCGTGGTCGGTTCTCTCCCAGCCGGCCTGCCGCCCTTGGGCCCTGGGGAGAAGAGGATCCCTCACCAAGCCCTTTAGAGCAGAACGCGACTTGGGCTTCCCGGAGCGGCTGTGCACACAGGTCCCTTGTGATTGGCTCCCGCCCAACCAACCATACCACGGGCTTCCTGAGGCCCCTCTGGCTACCCAGCCAATCAGCACTCCCTCACGAGGCTCCGCCCTTTAGAGCACCCTGTGACCCAGTGCGCCTGCGCGCAAAGCCGTCCTACCGCAGCCTTCCTGGGGACCTCGCGTGAGGCTGTCGGGGCGCGAAGCTCTCCGTGGCCTTGGTTGGTTCCCGCCCTCTCTCTGCCGCAGTCCCAGCATCCCCAAGAGCTGTGGCACGACACTCCTGCCGCGATTTGCGGAGGGAGGGCTGCCGGGTCGGATAGCCCGCTTCCCCAGGGATACTGCTCTGCACCGGCCCCCATGACGCAACGGAGGGAGGCTTTGCAGGGGGCGTGAACAGATCAGATTTGCATTTTAGAGTGGGCCGCGTGAAGGGAAAGAAATGACAGGGCCCCGAAGGATACTACTGGTGGTGAGAAGACGGCTGATAAAATGTGAGAAAAAGCAGACTGCAAAACTGTAAGCCCTGAAATACCAAATTAGTAAATTGCTCTATATATGCACAGAAATCGTAGAACCATGCACCAGCATGTCCATACTCATCATGTCTGGGCGATGGGTGTGTGTGGCTGATTTTAATTTCCTTCTCGTTCCCCTCCCCCAATTTTTCAAATGTGACCTTATGTGACATGTATGATCAAAAAGAAGTTTTTGTTTGTTTTCCGGGTTCTTTGCCCATTAAAAATTTTTTTTATCTACATATATTTATGGGGTACAGAGTAGACTGTCAGTGTTTGTGTACAGTGTGTGATGACCAAATCAGTTTTATTAGTATTCACCATTACAAATCGTAATTACTTTTTCTGACCCTTACCCAATTACTCCTTATCCCCTGTCCCCCTCCCTCTTTCTCACCTCTAGTAACTGTAGGCCTTTTCTCTGATTCTGAAAGTTCAACGTTTTTTTTTTTTTTTTTTTGTCCTTTTTGAGACCAGCCGCACCGCGCTCAGCCAGTGAGCGCTGTGAGTGCACTGGTCACCCCTATATAGGATCCGAACCCGTGGCAGGAGGGCTGCTGCGCTCCCAGCGCCGCACTCTCCCGAGTGTGCCACGGGCTCCGCCCCGAAAGTTCAACGTTTTATCGTGGTTAGTCTTTCTTAGCTCCTACTTATGAGTGAGGACATGTGGTATTTCTCTTTCTGTGCCTGGCTTATTTCACTTAATATAACTTTCTCCAGGCTCATCCATGTTGCTGCAAATGGCAGAATTTCATTCTTCTTTATGGCTGACTAGTTTTCCATTACGTATATATACCATATTTTCCTTATCCAGTCATCCATCGATGGACATTTAGGTTGGTTCCATGTCTTGGCTATTGTAAACAGAGCTGCGATGAACATGGGAGTGCAGGTGTCCCTTCGACATGATGGTGTCCATTCCTTTGGTTATACACCCAGAAGTGGGATTGCTGGATCTTATGGTAGTTCTATCTGTAGTTGTTTGAGAAACCTCCATACTGTTTTCTATATCAAAAAGAAGTTTTTAAAGTGACATGACATTTCCAGGGGTGATTGTCATGTTGGTTTTCTATCTTCCTCCTTTGTAGTCCTAAGGAAGGATTAAACACTGAAGTATATCAACAAATCCTGTTGGGTTTCCCTGCTAAAAAGGTCTGAAATCAGCCCATTTCTCTCCCTCTCCACTGCTAATCCCCAGTGGGAGCCAGTGTTTCTCCCTGAACTCCTTCAACAGCTTCCTGACTGATTTTCTTCTATACTTGCCCATCTACAGCCTATTCTCCACAGAGCATAATGAGCTTTAAATTTCTAATATAAATCACATCAGGTCACTCTCCTGCTTAAAACCCTAAACAATTTCCCATCGCATTGGAATCAAATCCAAACTCCTTGCTGTAGCTGAAAAAAGCCCAATGTGACCTGGCTCCCCGCTCCTTCTCCACCTTCTTACCCCACCTGCCTGCTCCCTCGTTCTTTGCAGCCTCTGCAGCCCTCTCTCTGCACCCGAGCAAGGGCGGCCTGCCCCAGCACTTTGCACTTACTCTCCTATTTGTAAGACTGTGTCCGCAAACCTTCCCATGGGTAGCTCCTTCTTGTCATTAGGATCTCAGCTCCAATGTCACCTCCGAGAGGACTTGAGAGTCACCAGTGTAACTTAGTGCCCTGAGGCACACTTCATCAAATTTGCCCATTTCAATTTGCTGCCTAGTATTTCTAACAGCGTGAAATTATATTATTGTACTGTTCACTTCTTTATTGTTAATATGGCCTCTGGTACCTTTTCTTTTCAGTCCTGTATCCCCAGCACTTAGGAGAGTGGAGTGTATGCAGCAGGTGGTTGCTTGTTGAATGAAACAGTACTAAGGAAGTGCGAAACTTGATGACTATCTCAGACCCAGCAATCCTGCGTAAAAGAGTGACTCCACATTCGGTTAGAGCGCAGCCCTATAACACCGAGTTCTCGGGTTTGGATCCCTGTACCAGGCAGCTGCCAAAAAAATTACTCCACAAATATGAAACAATATATACACAAAGTTACTTATTGTAACAGAACTGGTGATAGAAAACTATTGGACCCAAAGTTTATGTCCATCAGCAGGAGACTGGAAAAATAAACTATGGTATATTCACACAGAAGTCCTATGCGGCAATAAAAAAAAGAATAAAACTCTCTAATGAAAAATGAAATTATTTCCAGGATATACTGTTATGTAAAAAAAACAGTGCAAAGGACACACACACACACACACACACACACACACACACACTCACAGACACACATGCTTATTGAAAAAGAAAGACAGGAAGGATAAACCTGAAACTAATTAAAATGATCACCTATGGGGCCGAGCCCGTGGCGCACTCGGGAGAGTGCAGCGCTGGGAGCGCAGCAGCGCTTGCGCCGCGGGTTCGGATCCTATATAGGGATGACTGGTGCGCTCACAGCGCTCACTAGCTGAGCGCAGTGCGGCCGGTCTCAAAAAGGAAAAAAAAAAAAAAAAATCACCTATGGGGAGTATAGGATTTCTTGGAATATTTAGTAGTTTTTAAGTAGTTTTGACTTTTGGACCACATAGATATTTTACATGTTCAAAATATAAATTTGAAATAGTGAAAAAATCAAATGCTATAACTGAATAAAAACAAAACTAAATGAGCCTAACTACGTATACAGTTTGTAACAAAACCACATGGAGAAAATTATTTAGTGCCTTTTAAATTCAGCTCCCTTGGGGGCCGGCCCGGTGGCGCACTGGATAGTGCGCCGCTTGGG